ACGCATTCATATTTTTTATATGTTATTCATTCAAAACAGGAATTTTCAAAAATATAAATTAATATTAAAATATATCAGCACATGGAGAGATATCTCTAACATCATAGGATCTAAACAACATTCACATAACCAGATAAAAATCTCCAAGGATGGTTTTACACCTGCAACAGATCTAGAAACTGCAACTGAATTTAATAGCTTCTTTTCGTCAGTTGGTGCTAACCTTGCCAGAAAAATCCCACAGACTCGGACCACATATCTTTCAAGCAACTATCCAAACACTCTTCTCATTTCACCAGTCGGCCTTACAGATGTTGTGTCTATCATTCACTCACTAAAAACCAAAGCTGGGAACATTAGTGAAATATCATTCATGGTATACAAGAGTGTCTCCCATGCCCTTGCGCCACGCATAACTTTGCTGTTCAACAAATCTCTAGTGTTATACCTTTCCTGATATCCTTAAAAAAGCAAGAGTAACGGCAGCTCATAAATGAGGCAATCCGGCAGACACAAACAATTACAGACCAATATCAAATCTACCTACATTATCAACAATATTTGAACAAATTATTTACGAACCGCTCTACTTCTATATCGTAAAATTCAACATACTAAGTCCCTGTCAGTTTGGCTTCCGCTCCCAAAAAGAGTACCAATGATGCAATTATTAGTCTGCTTCACTTAATCTATTCAGCCTTTGACAAAAATGAGTTTCCGATTGGACTATTCATTGACCTGAGAAAGGCCTTTGATACTGTTAACCAGAATTTCCTCTTACTTAAACTCTGCCATTATGGAATCCGAGGCCTTGCTCTGAACTATATCCGATCCTATCTTAGTGACAGACACCAATATGTAGCCATTTATGATATAACCTTCCACTCTACCATTAACCGTAGGGGTGCCACTGGGCAAGGTCCTAGGACCTCTCCTATTTCTTATGTACGTCAATGATCTGCCTAATGTCTCTCTAAGATTTTGACACATTATTTGCTGACGATACTACCCTCATTTACTCATACCCCAACCCACACACACTAAATAATGTTGTAAACAATGAACTAAAAAGAGTTCACTTATGGATGTCAACCAACAAACTCACACTAAACATACAAAAGACTTACTACATTTTATCTGGAAGCAAATCAACAAATGTAATTCCACTTCAGATAGACAATGTTAACATCAGCAATAAAAATGATGGAAAGTTCTTTGACCTATACTTAGACAAGAGACTCAACTTCAGCACCCACATACAACACATACCGAAGAAAGTCTCAAAAATGGTTGGTATACTCTCCAAAATCAGATATTATGTTCTAAATTCTGCTCTTCTCTCACTATACTATACGCTAATCTATTCCTATCTTACATATGGTATCTGTGCATGGGGCTCAACCTTTGCAAACTACCTCAAGTCCATCATCACCTAGCAAAATTCTGCTATCAGAACAATAATAAACTCGGCTTTCAGACAACACTCAACCCCACTGTTTAAATCCCTGAACATACTAAGCATAACCTCACTCCACACATTCTCTTGTGCCAATTACATTTACAAAACCCTGTTCCTAAGTGTAAACCCTGTTCTGAAACTCTTCTTGGACAGATGTAATAGAACACATTATCACCACACCATAATTAAATATCTCTGATATTCCCAGAGTCAAACTTAATCTGTGTTAAACACTCTATGCAAATAAAGGGACCTGGTCTATGGAACTCACTCCCTAACGAATTGAAAAACTGTCAGACTTTTGCCTTTTTAAAAATAGAACCAAAAATACCAAATTTCATCTTCATAGTGCCTTAATCGACCGCGCTACGACAAGGTTAAAAGAATTGCAACCAGAAGTTCTACTGCCCTTACTTGGATCCTGCAGTCTCTCCGAGACACAAATCAGATCTTTTAACCATGTAGCGCAGTCAATTAAGGCAGCGTCTGGGACGTTCTTGGACCTAGGTTCGAACCCTCGTCACGGCCCTAGTGGATTTGTTCACATAGGCATAGGTTAGGTTAGATTAGGAGTTTAGATTCTCTTGGCAATTATTTGAATTTGTAGTATATGGGTGAAGCATTTACAGCGTTGTGGTCCGAATAAAATTCGTTAGTGAAGCACTTGTTCCAGAAGTGTTCAACGTTAACAGTTGTGAGTTGCATGTAAACCGCCTTTTATTCAGAAACAGGGGGTTTGGCGGGGACATAGTGTGATGCCCATGGGTTCTGTTACAACCTTCTAGGAAGTTTTTAAGATCATGATTGACATTGCAGTTCAGAGTTTTAACTATATAGAGTACACATGTGATTATGTGCAGTGACTTTATATCTAACATATTCAAAGATTTGAGTAAGGGTACAGAGTGCTGTCTGGATCCTGAGTTAGATATTGTTCTAATAACAGCTTTGTGTGAGTAATTAGAGGACGTAAATGATTTTGGGTAGTAGAACCCCAAGCACAAATACCATAATTGAGATAAAGATAGATGAGAGAGTAATAGAGCGTGACCAAAGCAAGGCGAGGTACATAATATCTGATCTTAGAAAGAATGTCAACAGTTTTAGAAACTTTTTTGATATATTTAGAATGTGTCCCTGGAAATTCAGCTTGTTATCGGTGAGAACACCAAGAAATTTGCCGTCTACTTTGTTACTAATTTGGACATAGTTTTTTCTTAGATTAATTTGGTTTGAGGATTTATTGCCAAACAAAATATAGAAAGTTTTGTCAATGTTAAGGGTGAGTTTGTTAGCAGTTAGCCAAAGATGGACTTTATTTAGTTCAGTATTCACTGTGACATTTAGAGCAAGAGGGTTAGGACTGGAGAAAATGAATGTTGTGTCATCAGCAAATAGAATTGGTTTAAGGTGTTGAGAGGCATGTGGAAGGTCATTAATGTAGATGAGAAAGAGATGGCGCGTCTGTGGGGTTGACCGCTGGATGTAATGGACTTGAGTCGAGGCAACCCATCCTCGACTCGAATGAAAAACGGTTTACACACGACTCAACTGATTTTGTTTTAACACTTCCGGAACAAGAGCTTCACTGACGAATTTTGTTTGAACCACTACGCAGTAAATGCTTCACCCACGTACTACAAATAATCAACAGAACGTAAACACCTAACCTAACCTATGCCTATATATGCACAATATGCTATTATAATATTAATTTATATTGGAAAGAAATCCTGTTTTGAATGAACAGTATGTTAAAATTTATGAATAAATCCAAAATTATGTTTGTAACTCATCTTCAATGTATGTACCTTTACCTGAATAAAAAATCTAGATCTTAATCTAAGTCTAAATGCATCTGCGGGGTCGACCGCTGAATTTAATGGACTTGAGTCGAGGACGGGTTGGTGAATCGCGTGTAAACCGTTTATCATTCATAAACAGGGGGTTTGGCGGATGCATGGAATCACTTTTGGGGTCTTTATTTGGAGGACGGGCTGCTCATAACTGATGACATTCGAACACTTTGTGAACAGTGCTTCGCTGAAAATTTTTGTAAATGCTAAATATAAATATGTAAATATAAATATATATTATATAAAGAGGAAGCAGAGCAGGAAATGAACTTTAGTTTTGTGTGATTTTCTAGTTTCACCTAACACTTGAAAATACCCTCTTGCCAAATCTGTAAGCAACTGTTAGTTCACTCCAATATCGTTTTGGCTGGATGCCAATCCTTAATAGTTCGCCCCTGTTCACCCAGTAGTAATTGTAGACCTGATTGTTATACGATTGGCGGGTCGTGTTCCAGGAAAAACTTACAGGGTAAGGCTTACCACGAGGAAAGAAGGTTCTCAGCGTGTTAACAGAAATCTGAAGTTGTTTACTCCTGTATCCACCTGTTAAAAATTATCGCTTCTCATCGAGGAGCTTCAAACCATATATATATATATATATATATATATATATATATATATATATATATATATATACCTATATATATTCAAGGCCCGATATATATAACCTAACCTAACCTAGCTATATATATATATATATATATATGATTCTGGCTACTATACGACATATATATATATATATATATATATATATATATATATATATATCAATACATAACCGTCACAGGCAAATTGTTTTGGTTCGTCAGTGGTATTATTGTAGTGAAAAATGTTCTAGCGTGTTCTGGTGAGTGGGATATGGCCATTCCAATCACTCCTGTAAAAACTGCAATATTTCAGGAAATTAGGGATGCCATAAGATCAATTCATGACACTCAAAAACCAAAAAGCACGAGTATAAAGAGCTATGACATGTTTAGAATCGATTACGGGCTATTCATGCCCATGATACCTCTTGGGCGGGTTATTTTTCATCAATCAATCAATCATTACCGACCACTTATTGGCTATTCATGCCCGTGCCACCTCTTGGGTGGCTTAATCTTTATCAATTAATCAGTCTTAGAACCGAGAAATATATGTACGGGCAGCATGAAACATCCACTAGACAGTGTGACATTGTAATTGCCAGAATTAGGCTGAGATATCGATATCTATGATAGGTGGCTGCAGGTAATGAATAACCCAATTGTGAACATTCCAATTGTAAACTATGTGAACAAGAGCTGGGACATACTCTCCAACACTATAACTGATTGCTCTGTTATAAGTGATTTCAGACCAAATGGTGTGAGGTACTTTGAACTCTGTAATTACTTCATTCACATGAGTATTGGAAAATATTCTTGTGCTCTTCCCAGATTTTGCTAGTGGAGGCTAATAGATCAGCCTTGCATTTTATTTCCTCTCCCGATTCCATGTATGACTAACCATCCTGTGAGATGGGATATTAGATGAATTTATAGTTAGATTACACTGTAGAAAAAAAACTTTCATATAGAATAGGGTAAAAAAAATAGTTGTGTATACCTAAGCTTGTTAATAAAAAAACTGGTCATCCATGAATAATGAATACAATATTAGTAAAATAAATTTCGTAATACTAGGGACAATAAAGAAAGAGAACAGTTTCAACAGGATTTAAGAAAGCCCATATATAATAACAATATCTTGTAATGCTATACAATATTCTCCGTTCTGTACACATTGAAACATTCACTCTTAAAAGAGGATAATGTCATGCTTTACGTTTATGCATGCAGATACAATACTGTGTTGTGTGGCATCAACGCCTTTCTGCACCTCTTGAACATTTTTCTCAACAGTAAAAAAAAAACTCATTAAAACGAGTCACTCTACTCAATGGGAAGGAGAGAGAGGAGTTTCCAGTTGATCTTGGTACATACACTGGAGAGTTTACTTTAGACCTGGACAAAAGGACCTGATCACGACTAAAGTATACTTGCTGGTTGGTCAGTAAGCCATTATGATGGTCTTAATAACCCTTTAGAGGGTGAAAGGCCTTCACCCCATCACAACACCCATATACTTTTTTTACTCAAGAGAAAGTCTGTGACCCCCGAGGAAACGTTGAGTGAAGGCGTCCTGAGCTTCACAAGGCGGATGTTTCCATAGTTCACAGTCGTCTCTCTTAGTTTAATGTGTGCTACTTCTTACGATGACCATGACAGTGGGTATTAAGGCATAATTATGTCAGAGAAGGCCTTAGCACAGGCCTTCTGAACGCTTCATAAACTACAGTGTTCATCCAGTGTCGGTAGTTTTACAAATCATGGATGAAGCTATTGTAGACAAAAATTCACTAGTTAATTACAATAAAATTAATTCTGTACACAACATAATTAAAGATATAGTCCATGACTCTCCCTTTAGCTCAGGAGTCGGGTCACCAATCAGGACGAAAGAGCAGTAATAGAGACACACACAGAGCAGAGAGTACATCTGGGAGTGGCGGTGTAGGAGGTCCTTGAGACGTCTCCTGCCCGCTGGGTTGCTGAAGTTCCTGAGGCGCTGGGCACCGTTCCAGCTTATCCATGTCCACATACATGATGTCCTTGCCGTGGAGGTTGTAGGGTGAGACACAGAAGTTATGACGAGAGAAGAGAGGAGTATTCACTGCCAGCGGAGATTCCAGCACCCACCATAGCTGACACGAGCATGGCAAGTAGTTCCCTGTGGAATGTAGTGGTCAAAGTGACTTGGGAATGAACTGGCACTTGGGTTGGTGGCTAGCGCATTATGATTCACAGATAAAATCAGATATTTTTTAAAGGTGAACTCTTTTTAGAGTTTTTAAACTTTTTTTTTTAAGAGTGAGGGGGAAAAGCTGTAGATAAAAAACGGTAAAGGGAACAATAGGAGAAAAAAGATGGGAGAGAGCGCGTTCACCGTACCTGTGACGACAGAACGGACATTGGCGTGGATGCGTAGCGGCTTCTCTTGGCTGACCTGCAGGAAGTGGTTTCCCTGTACGATGACTGTATCCACGTTCGACTCCTCCCGTACCTCCAGCGATTCCAGTATGTCAACCTAGGAAAAGAATTCCACAATTCATTAATTGTAAGTGACTCTTTATCATCCTTAATTACTCTCAAATCTTTAAAACATAACTGTAACATGCTCGTGTCTGAAGCTAGACACAAATACAACAAAATTATTAACGATGGTAACAGTCCATTTCATGTTGGCCTCCGAATGCATGATAGAGCTGATGAGTTAGCCAAAGAATCTGCCTTTAAAGGAGTTTCAAGTTTAGTTCATTTATTATGCACCCCATACCCATCTTCTGGGCGGTAGTGGAAAGGGTTACAGAGGCACATAATGGGCTCAGGGACTGAACCCCACAATTCATTTAGCTAAGCAAGTTACAATCTTGATGAGCTAGTTACAAAATTCAATATAAGTCGTCACATCAACAATGGGTTCGAGATCGACCTCAAGTACAGGTTCTAAATTAAGCAACTGACATATGTGCAGAGCCTAGTGTCAAAATTTATGCGTTTGTCCTGCACACCGCCCCCCATCCAGTGGGCAGCGGTGGATAGGTTACAATCACTCAGTTACTACCTACAGTTAGCAAACTGGGGATATTTGGCTAAAATTTCTGGTACCAGATCATTTTGAATGAAATATTGACACATCGCTGGAACATTGGTTATAGAGTTGTCTCTAAATTCACGTATCTTTTCGCACTCCATCACATAGTGACAGAGGTGTGCGAATAATTTTGTTGACACAGTTTACATTTGGTCAGGTCTACATCAGCAGATAATGAGAATTCCCAGAGATACTTGTAACCGAGTCTAAGCCGAGCAGTAGTAACATCTAGAAGATTTTATTCGATGATCCATAGATGTGTGGCTCCTCTTGCATGATAGTATGATGATAGATGGAATTACTGGTGTCAATTTCACTTTGCCCCAGATCTACAAGATCTTGTTGAAGTTCTCGGTGTACTGCTGCTCTCAGATTGCTCATTGACAATCCAAGGTTACACTCAACGGCTCCTTTAAAGGCAGGTTCTTTGGCTAACTTATCAGCTCTATCATGCATTCGGAGGCCAACATGAGATGGAGACCACATGAAATGGACTCTGTTACCATCCTTAATAATTTTGTTGTATTAGCTTCGGACACGAGCATGTTACAGTTATGTCTTATAAGTTGAGAGCATTTAATTTATTTATTTATGCATATACAAGAATGTACATAAGGAATGTGAGGATACAAATATGGTAATTACAGTCTTGTAAAGCCACTAGCACGCGCAGCGTTTCGGGCAGGTAAGGATGGTAAGGAGTCACAATTAATGTATCAAGTTTGGAGACTTGTACACATTTCAGTGCAAGAAGCACGGCAAATAGTTCGGTCTGAAGGGTAGAGGCCCAATTGTTTATACGGACTCCCCACTCAAAGTACAAGCCATCGCCCATTGTCAGAACAACTGCACTTCCAGCTGCACCTGTGGTGCGGTGTAGGGAACCATCAGTGTATATGATTTGAGAGAGAGAATGCTCTGTGGACAGAGCATCAATATGGCTTAAGGCGTTGAGCTTTGCCTCAAGACGAAGCTTGGGCTGATCTCTAATTTGCTTCTTGGGTGGAAAGGGAGGGATTAAAACTGGAAAGGGTGTAACTTTAAAGGAGAAATCGAGTATAACCTTGGATTGTCAATGAGCAATCTGTGAGCAATAGTTCACCGAGAACTTCAACAAAATTTGGTAGATCTGAGGAAAAGTGAAATCGACACCAGTAATTCCATCTATCATCATACTATCATGCAAGAGGAGCCACACATCTATGGTTCATTCAATAAAATCAGCAGACTTCTAGACGTTACTACTGCTCGGCTTAGACTCGGGTACAAGTATCTCTGGGAATTCTCATTATCTGCCGATGTAGACCTGACCAAATGTAAACTGTGTCAACAAAATTATTTACACACCCTCCGTCACTATGTGATAGAGTGCGAAAAAATACGTTAATTCCGAGACAATTATATAACAAATGTTCCAGAGATATGTAAATATTTCATTCAAAATTATCTGCTGCCAAAAGTCTTTGATAAATATCCCCAGTTTGCTAACTGTAGGTAGTAACTAAGTGATTGTAACCTATCCACCGCTGCCCACTGGATGGGGGCGGTGTGCAGGACAAACATATCAATTGTGACACTAACTCTCCACATATGTCAGTTGCTTAATTTAGAAACTGTACTTTTGGTTGATCTCGAACCCATTGTTGATGTGACGACTTATATTGAATTTTGTAACTAGCTCATCAAGATTGTAACTTGTTTAGCTAAATGAATTGTGGGGTTCAGTCCCCGAGCCCATTATGTGCCTCTGTAACCCTTTCCACTACCGCCCACAAGATGGGTATGGGGTGCATAATAAATGAACTAAAATAACTAGTTGTTCTTACCTTGTTATGGAGGATACACAGTTGTTCTTACCGTGTTATGGAGGATACACAGTTGTTCTTACCGTGTTATGGAGGATACACAGTTGTTCTTACCTTGTTATGGAGGATACACAGTTGTTCTTACCTTGTTATGGAGGATACACAGTTGTTCTTACCGTGTTATGGAGGATACACAGTTGTTCTTACCTTGTTATGGAGGATACACAGTTGTTCTTACCGTGTTATGGAGGATACTCAGTTGTTCTTACCGTGTTATGGAGGATACACAGTTGTTCTTACCGTGTTATGGAGGATACACAGTTGTTCTTACCGTGTTATAGAGGATACACGGTTCTTCTTACCGTGTTATAGAGGACACACATTTGTTCTCACCGTGTTATAGAGGATACACATTTGTTCTTACCGTGTTATAGAGGATACACAGCTGTTCTCACCTTGTTATTCAAGATGCGCAATTCACCAACGTTTTGGAGTCCATCAAACGCCAGGTCGCGAAACGTTCCGAGGTCCGACTCTTGAATGGAGATCTGAGTGACGTTCCTCAAACCCCTGTTGGAAAATACACTCTTCACCCTGGCTCTTATTACTACTCTTCACCCTGGCTCTTATTACTACTCTTCACCCTGGCTCTTATTACTACTCTTCACCCTGGCTCTTATTACTACTCTTCACCCTGGCTCTTATTACTACTCTTCACCCTGGCTCTTATTACTACTCTTCACCCTGGCTCTTATTACTACTCTTCACCCTGGCTCTTATTACTACTCTTCACCCTGGCTCTTATTACTACTCTTCACCCTGGCTCTTATTACTACTCTTCACCCTGGCTCTTATTACTACTCTTCACCCTGGCTCTTATTACTACTCTTCACCCTGGCTCTTATTACTACTCTTCACCCTGGCTCTTATTACTACTCTTCACCCTGGCTCTTATTACTACTCTTCACCCTGGCTCTTATTACTACTCTTCACCCTGGCTCTTATTACTACTCTTCACCCTGGCTCTTATTACTACTCTTCACCCTGGCTCTTATTACTACTCTTCACCCTGGCTCTTATTACTACTCTTCACCCTGGCTCTTATTACTACTCTTCACCCTGGCTCTTATTACTACTCTTCACCCTGGCTCTTATTACTACTCTTCACCCTGGCTCTTATTACTACTCTTCACCCTGGCTCTTATTACTACTCTTCACCCTGGCTCTTATTACTACTCTTCACCCTGGCTCTTATTACTACTCTTCACCCTGGCTCTTATTACTACTCTTCACCCTGGCTCTTATTACTACTCTACCCTGGCTCTTATTACTACTCTTCACCCTGGCTCTTATTACTACTCTTCACCCTGGCTCTTATTACTACTCTTCACCCTGGCTCTTATTACTACTCTTCACCCTGGCTCTTATTACTACTCTTCACCCTGGCTCTTATTACTACTCTTCACCCTGGCTCTTATTACTACTCTTCACCCTGGCTCTTATTACTACTCTTCACCCTGGCTCTTATTACTACTCTTCACCCTGGCTCTTATTACTACTCTTCACCCTGGCTCTTATTACTACTCTTCACCCTGGCTCTTATTATTACTCTTCACCCTGGCTCTTATTATTACTCTTCACCCTGGCTCTTATTATTACTCTTCACCCTGGCTCTTATTATTACTCTTCACCCTGGCTCTTATTATTACTCTTCACCCTGGCTCTTATTACTACTCTTCACCCTGGCTCTTATTACTACTCTTCACCCTGGCTCTTATTACTACTCTTCACCCTGGCTCTTATTACTACTCTTCACCCTGGCTCTTATTACTACTCATCACCCTGGCTCTTATTACTCTTCACCCTGGCTCTTGTTACTCTTCACCCTGGCTCTTATTACTCTTCATCTGGCTCTCATTAATCTTTTCTTCCTTTGTTCTTTCATCTTTTTATGCCTGCATTAACAACCTTGTACTTCAATTATGCAACAGATAACCGACTGATAAGATGAATCATTTTAAGCAGATTGTAAACGGCTTATTTCAAATGTAACTCAATATTGTAATTACTTTAAAATCCGTATGGAAAATATCATCAATGCAAATGGGGGAACCTTTGACTTCAATGAAAAGAAGGTAGCGAATCAATTGTATAAATCTCTGGTGTGAATCATTTGGATTACTGTATCCAAGCATGGAGACCTCATCTTTAGAAGGACATAGCCGCTCTGGAGAAAGTAGAACACCGAACAACAAGAATCATTCCAGAGTCAACTCGCATACCAGGAACAGTTGAGGGACACAGGGCTAACAACGCTGCAAACCAGGCATGACAGGGCGGATCTCATTGAAACCTTTAAATTACAGAACAATTTGGAGGATGTTGATCCCGACAATTTCTTCAAAAGGTCAGATGTAACACAAACAAGGAGAAACGGGTTCAAGCTCAACAAGCCACAATGTAGGACTGAGAACAGGAGATGCTTTTTCTTCCACACGGATATAAACTTATGGAACCACCTACCCGCTGAAGCCGTAAATGCCAAAATTATATTAAAATTTAAAATGCAACTGGCAACGATCATCAGAGCAAATGGGGGGTGGGGGACCTTTGACAAGCCGCCGGTTTCCTGTCCTCGTCAAGACCGCTAGTGTTAATGGCCCTCAAGTAAATTCAGGCAAATATATCAAGGGTTAATGCACAGTTGGGTCTAGATAAGGTCAGGAAAGGAAGTGGTGTAAGCTACACTGATTTAGGGAGTGTTTATAATACAAGATAATATTTAATAGAGTCTCGAGTCACAGCTTCGAACATGCTCAAGTTCACCCATAAGTTATATATATGACTTACGTATGTTTTAATTTCAATATTACTAATGTGGTGTGAACACGATGGCTCTTCACACAGACGGCAACACCTGACCCTCCCACAGGCAGCAACACCTGACCCTCCCACAGACAGCAACACCTGACCCTCCCACAGACAGCAACACCTGACCCTCCCACAGGCAGCAACACCTGACACTCCCACAGACAGCAACACCTGACCCTTCCACAGACAGCAACACCTGACCCTTCCACAGACAGCAACACCTGACCCTCCCACAGGCAGCAACACCTGACCCTCCCACAGGCAGCAACACCTGACCCTCCCACAAGCAGCAACACCAGACACTCCCACAGACAGCAACACCTGACCCTTCCACAGACAGCAACACCTGACCCTTCCACAGACAGCAACACCTGACCCTCCCACAGACAGCAACACCTGACCCTCCCACAGGCAGCAACACCAGACACTCCCACAAGCAGCAACACCAGACACTCCCACAGACAGCAACACCTGACCCTCCCACAGACAGCAACACCAGACACTCCCACAAGCAGCAACACCTGACCCTTCCACAGACAGCAACACCTGACCCTTCCACAGACAGCAACACCTGACCCTCCCACAGGCAGCAACACCAGACACTCCCACAAGCAGCAACACCAGACACTCCCACAGACAGCAACACCTGACCCTTCCACAGACAGCAACACCTGACCCTCCCACAGACAGCAACACCAGACACTCCCACAGACAGCAACACCTGACCCTTCCACAGACAGCAACACCTGACACTCCCACAGACAGCAACACCAGACACTCCCACAGGCGGCAACACCAGACACTCCCACAGACAGCAACACCAGACACTCCCACAGACAGCAACACCTGACCCTTCCACAGACAGCAACACCTGACACTCCCACAGACAGCAACACCAGACACTCCCACAAGCAGCAACACCTGACACTCCCACAGACAGCAACACCTGACACTCCCACAGACGGCAACACCTGACACTCCCACAGACGGCAACACCTGACACTCCCACAGACGGCAACACCTGACACTCCCACAGACGGCAACACCTGACACTCCCACAAGCAGCAACACCAGACACTCCCACAGACGGCAACACCAGACACTCCCACAGACGGCAACACCAGACACTCCCACAGACGGCAACACCAGACACTCCCACAGACGGCAACACCAGACCCTCCCACAGACTGCAACACCAGACCCTCCCACAGACAGCAACACCAGACCCTCCCACAGACAGCAACACCAGACCCTCCCACAGACAGCAACACCAGACCCTCCCACAGACAGCAACACCAGACCCTCCCACAGACAGCAACACCAGACACTCCCACAGACAGCAACACCAGACACTCCCACAGACAGCAACACCAGACACTCCCACAGACAGCAACACCAGACACTCCCACAGACAGCAACACCAGACACTCCCACAGACAGCAACACCAGACACTCCCACAGACAGCAACACCAGACACTCCCACAGACAGAAACACCTGACCCTCCCACAGACAGCAACACCTGACCCTCCCACAGACTGCAACACCTGACCCTCCCACAGACAGCAACACCAGACACTCCCACAGACAGCAACACCAGACACTCCCACAGACAGCAACACCAGACACTCCCACAGACAGCAACACCAGACACTCCCACAGACAGCAACACCAGACACTCCCACAGACAGCAACACCTGACACTCCCACAGACAGCAACACCAGACACTCCCACAGACAGCAACACCAGACACTCCCACAGACAGCAACACCTGACCCTTCCACAGACAGCAACACCTGACCCTTCCACAGACAGCAACACCAGACACTCCCACAGACAGCAACACCTGACCCTTCCACAGACAGCAACACCTGACCCTTCCACAGACAGCAACACCAGACACTCCCACAGACAGCAACACCTGACCCTTCCACAGACAGCAACACCTGACCCTTCCACAGACAGCAACACCAGACACTCCCACAGACAGCAACACCTGACCCTTCCACAGACAGCAACACCTGACACTCCCACAGACAGCAACACCTGACCCTCCCACAGACAGCAACACCTGACCCTCCCACAGACAGCAACACCTGACCCTTCCACAGACAGCAACACCTGACACTCATCATCCAGGTCGTACCTGAAAGTGTGCGGCCTCAAGGCGTGGAGGTCGAGGCTGTGGAGGCGCAGGAGGCCGACGCCCTCCAGGTCATAGAAGGCGTCCGACTCTATCACCTGAAGGAGGAAGTCAGATGTTAACATGGGCAGAGTCATCCAACATGAGAGTAGATATAGCTACTGTGAATGGTTGTGTCATGCAACATGAGAGTAGATATAGCTACTGTGAATGGTTGTGTCACCCAACATGAGAGTAGATATAGCTGCTGTGAATGGTTGTGTCACCCAACATGAGAGTAGATATAGCTACTGTGAATGGCAGTGTCATCCAACATGAGAGTAGATATAGCTACTGTGAATGGTTGTGTCACCCAACAAGAGAATAGATATAGCTGCTGTGAATGGTTGTGTCATCCACCATGAGAGTAGATATAGCTACTGTGAATATTAGTGGCATGCAACATGAGAGTAGATATAGCTACTGTGAATGGCAGTATTATCCAACAAGATGCCAATCAGTAATTAAACAAACACCTCTGATACTGATGATAATGATAATGTATCTTAGGCAAACTTAGGTAAAAGTACATATCTACAAAAAGAGTTACAAGCAGATTGTTAGAGTTCCAGACAGATCAAGAATATACAATCTCTAAAGCCACTAATACACACAGCGCTTCGGGCAACATGTGGACAAATAAACTTAAAAACTAATAATGACCAGACCACACACTAGAGGGTGAAGGGACGACGACGTTTCGGTCCGTCCTGGACCATTCTCAAGTCGATTGAGAATGGTCCAGGACGGACCGAAACGTCGTCGTCCCTTCACCTTCTAGTGTGTGGTCTGGTCATCATACTTTAGCCACGTTATTGTGACTCATCGTCTGCTTAAAAACTAATACTTAAAACTAATTGAGATCAAAAGGAAAATTTGAATTGAAGTAGAACAAATGACATATTGAATGTTGAATGGAACACCAGAAATTGCAACAGAGCAGCAGATAGTAAATTTGACTAAATAAACAGACGGAATACAATTTTCTTAAAGTTTATATATATGGCAGATATCAGCAGTTTTACAAGTTTACATTACATTTACATTCTTGTGAAGCCGATAACACGCATAGCGTTTCGGGCAGTTAGTCATTAATCATTAATGTTTGATAATATCAAGACATTGGTTGACATTTAGGGGGTAAGGTAGGTTATATGGAGTTTATTAGGTAATACTTAGTTTTCTCTTAAACTGGTTGAGAGAGGGGCAGTCTTTGATGTGACTGGGAAGGTTATTCCACATTCTGGGACTCTTGATTTGCAGAGCATTTCAACTCTGGTAACATTACAGTTCAGAGTTTATATATATATATATATATATATATATATATATATATATATATATAGTACACTTGAGAGGATGTTCAGTGACTTAATATCTAACATAATCAATGATTTATAAAGGGGCCGAGAGCTGTCTGGGGCTTGAGTTTGTTATTATTTTAATAGCTGATTTGTGTTGAGTAATTAAAGGCCGTAGATGATTTTGATACAGGGCTGCCTTTAAGTCTCGTAAAGCTATTTTAGTGAGCTAAGTCTAAACGTTGGTAAACTATTAATTTCATTTTATATAAGAAAAAGAGTTACACATAAGGTACAAAGATGATTATCATATGCTGTTGAGTTCCTCCAGCTCCTCAGATGACGGGCAGGAACCCTGAATGCAGTGTGCCTTTTCCCTCTGTATCGCCACGCTGAGGCGCTGGAAAAGAAAGCTGGAAGCTGTAGGGTCTCTTGTTGTTTCAATTAGCCTAGAATCCAGTTCCTTAAAATAAAAACTGGTGGCACTCTTACCCCAGGCGCTGAAGTGTTTCGGAAGCAATGGGGACAGAATTGTAGTGGTGATCCAGTTCTCTGTAATTACGGGATTTGGCTGATTCCCTGCGAGTGGCAGCTCCACCTGGTTGTGCAACACTGAAGTCAATTTAGGTGTTAGCCAGTGTTGATACACACGTGTTGTCACACACCAACTGCTTGCCATTCTTCCAGGGGTTCACTGTGATACCATCTGGGCGACTACATCATTGGCATTAACGAAACATGGGGACGAGAGAATATTATAGAAAGGGAACTCCATCTCCCAGGATACCAACCACCACTCAGACAGGACAGAACAACGGGAGCAGGCGGGGTGAGGCTGTATGTGAAAGAGGACCTGTATGCAACCAACAATGAGGAACTGAACACACACAGAGATCACACTAACGTGATGCATCAAATGAACAAATCCACAAGGGCCGTGACGAGGATTCGAACCTGCGTCCGGGAGCATCCCAGACACTGCCTTAATCGACTGAGCTACGACAGGGTAAAAGAGTTGAAACCGAAGTTGTACTGAACTTACTGGATCCCGTAGCTCTTTTACCCTGTCGTAGCTCAGTCGATTAAAGCAGTGCCTGGGATGCTCCCGGACACAGGTTCGAATCCTCGTCACGGCCCTTGTGGATTTGTTCATTGAACTGAACACCACGGGATCCTCAGAGTCCGTATGGTGCAACATACTAGCTCAAGATGGTAGGAAATGACAGTAGGAGTATGGTACAGGGCTCACACAGCAGCAGCGGAGGAAGTTGCTAATCTGCATAATGTGATCAATGTGGCATAAGAAACCCAAATTCTAATAATGGGGGACTTTAACCATTAGATTGGGTAAATTTAACATCACAAACAGAAGGAGAACAATTTCTAGACCTGGTACAGGACTCCTTTCTCATGCAGCATGTGGTAAAGCCCACACGAGGCAACAGCATTATAGACCTTGTGCTAACATCACAAGAGGGCATGATTAATCAAATTCAGGTTGGAGGAAAAGCTAATATCCTTATGTGATCACTGTATTCTAAGATGGGCTACGAATATAGAAACCCACATAAAGGTCCATGAATAAGAATTTCTAGATTACCATCGAGGAGACTATCAAGGAATGAGAGAGAAATTGAAAAACACCTCATGGAAGGATGGGATGGGAATTATCAGGGGAAAGCGTCAAGCCATTATGACTATATAGCACGTGGAAGGGGTCAGGATAAGGGTTTGGGATGGGACGGGAGAGGGAAGGAATGGTGCCTAACCACTTGTGTGGACGGTCGGGGATTGAACGCCGACCTGCGTGAAGCGAGACCGTCACTCTATCGTCCACACAAGTGGATAGTGGTAGTACAGTGGTAGAGATGTGGCTGGCAGTCCATTGGTCGCGGGTTCGAGTCCCCTAAGAGCTCCAGCCGATTCGTGGGGAAGGTCCGTAGGTCGACCTCGGGGGGACCTCGAAACAAGTACAATATGTGTATTTACCTGAATTTATCTAGTGACCTCGACCAGAACAGGAAGCCGGCAGCTTGTCAAAGGTCCCCCATTTGTTCTGATGATTTTATCGAGCTGGATTTTAAAATTCAGGAACGTTTTGGCATTCAAGATCTTCGACGCGTAGGCGGTTCCATAGGTATATAACCTTAGGGTGAAAAAGCATCTCCTATTTTCCGTCCTGCATTGAGGCTTGTTGAGCGTGAAACCGTTACTCCTTGTTAGTGTTGCATCTGACCTTCTGAAGAAGTGGTCTGAATCAACATCTTCCAAGTTGTTAAGTTGTTTAAAAGTTTCGATGAGATCCGCCCCGTCATGTCTGGTGTACAGTGTTGTTAGTCCTATGGCCCTCAACTGTTCCTGGTATGAGAGCCAACTTACTTCAGGAATTAATTTTTTCGCCCGGAGTTGAACTACCTTCAAAACAGATATATCTTTGTGAAGATGAGGTCTCCATGCTTGGATACAATAATCCAAGTGGGGCGCACCAGGGATTTGTACAGCTGTATAACTACTAACTTTTTCATTGAGGCCAAAGTTTTTTTTTGAGATATATACAAGAGTTGTTACATTCTTGTACAGCCACTAGTACGTGTAGCGTTTCGGGCAGGTCCCTGGAATACGATCCCCGCCGCGAAGAATCGTTGTTACAACCAAGTACCCATTTTACTGTTGAGTTAAACAGAGGCTACAGTTAAGGATTTGCGCCCAGTAAATCCTCCCCGGCCAGGATACGAACCCATGACAAAGCGCTCGCGGAACGCCAGGCGAGTGTCTTACCACTACACCACGGACACTGATATTTTGTTTCGTTTGAATATTCCTAGGATTTGGTTGGCATCTTTTTACTCCAGTTCTAACTAGTGAAACTTTCAGTGACTGGTGGATTCAGACTCCAAGGTCCTTTCTTTTCATCAAGTTGCTGCAAGGTAATGATGTTGACTTAGTAGTTGTGATAAGCATTCTTATGCCCATATGCAAGTACCTGAATTGTTCGATATTTAAAGCATTTGCCAATCTTCCGACCACTTGTGGAAGTCATATAGAACTCTTTGTAAGGCCTCAATATCAGTATCTCACTTCATCATAAATCTTATGTCACTGATGTGTGTGTTTACTAGTTGTGTTTTTACGGGGGTTGAGCTTTGCTCTTTCGGCCCGCCTCTCAACTGTTTACTAACTACTATTTTTTTTTTTTTTCCCACACCACACACACACACCCCAGGAAGCAGCCCGTGACAGCTGACTAACTCCCAGGTACCTATTTACTGCTAGGTAACAGGGGCACTTAGGGTGAAAGAAACTTTGCCCATTTGTTTCTGCCTCGTGCGGGAATCGAACCCGCGCCACAGAATTACGAGTCCTGCGCGCTATCCACCAGGCTACGAGGCCCCCTGTGTGTGTGTGAGTGAGTGAGTGAGTGAGTGAGTGTGAGTGAGTGAGTGAGTGAGTGAGTGAGTGAGTGAGTGTGTGTGTGTGTGTGTGTGTGTGTGAGTGAGTGAGTGAGTGAGTGTGTGTGTGTGTGTGTGTGTGTGTGTGTGTGTGTGTGTGTGTGTGTGTGTGTGTATATATATATATATATATATATATATATATATATATATATATATATATATATATATATACATATATATACATATATATATATATATATATATATATATATATATATATATATATATATAACTCACACCCCAGAAGTGACTCGAACCCATACTCCCAGGAGCAACGCAACTGGTATGTACAAGACGCCTTAATCCACTTGACCATCACGACCGGACAAAATGAGGTGATAGCCGAGGCTATATAGCCGAGGCGAGGATATGCCCAAGATTACTATCCGAGTGCCGGCGGTGGGGTGGTTCAAATAGCCTCGGCTATCACCTCATTTTGTCCGGTCGTGATGGTCAAGTGGATTAAGGCGTCTTGTACATACCAGTTGCGTTGCTCCTGGGAGTATGGGTTCGAGTCACTTCTGGGGTGTGAGTTTTCAGTTGCATATTGTCCTGGGGACCATTCAGGCTTGTTCGCATATATATATATATATATATATATATATATATATATATATATATATATATATATATATATATATATATATATATACACACACACATATATATACATATACACACTGACCTATCAGTGTTAGGTTAGTGTTAGGTCAGCGTAAGGGGAGGGGACACTGACCTTGACCCAGGAGGGCAGGTAGAGGAACTGGGCGGTGCGGAGGCCGGAGAAGGCTCTGGCCATGACCCTGGTGAGCGGGTTCTCCTGCAGGAGGATCATGCCGATGTTTCTACTGCCAGCGAACACATACCTGCAAGATGCAACATGCATTACTATACTAATATATCGTCATTTCCGACTGCTCTAACTCTGGTTAAACATTGAATCAGAACTTAGATGACAGGGAAGTGTATCTTGAGGTCTTGGTACATAAAGTAATTTGAATACAAGTTTATCTCACCAGTGACGTGGACTTAGGTATGTGTAAAGGGCAGCTTTATGCACTAAACCTGGCCTAATTGACTCTTACTATAGCAATCATATTGCCATAAGACTTGTATAACACTTGGGTCGCCTCTACACCTGGGCCGCCTCTACACCAGAGGTGTTGAGGCGGCCCACGTGGAGCCCACTCCCACACCTGTGGGTGTGGGGGTGGTGGGGGGGGTACACCAAGTACGTGGTGTGGGTGTGGGAGTGGTGTGGACGTGCACCACGCACGGGGTGTGGGGGTGGGTGTGGGGGGTGTGGGGTGGGTGTGGGGGTGTGGGGGTGGGTGTGGGGGTGTGGGGGTGGGGTGTGGGGTGTGGGGGTGGGGTGTGGGGTGTGGGGGTGGGGTGTGGGTGTGGGTGTGGGGTGTGGGGTGTGGGGTGGGGTGTGGGGTGTGGGTGTGGGGTGTGGGTATGGGGGTGGGGTGTGGGGGTGGGGTGTGGGGGTGGGGTGTGGGGGTGGGGTGTGGGGGTGGGGTGTGGGGGTGGGTATGGGGGAAGTACTCACGGATGGATGGTGGTGATGCGGTTCTTGCACAGGTTAATCTGGTTGACGTTCTCCAGACCAGCGAAGGAGAACCGGGGCAGCTCCGCCAGCGGGTTGTTCTGAAGAACAAATTTGTCTTAAAATTGTGACACAACTAAAACAATAATGAACAAAGCGTAACGTTCTCTACTAAGTTGGCTAAACATGTGTAACAGAAAATGGACTGGAAACATGAGCAAACTCACCATCATACTAATGATATTATGAGGGAAGGATGTGTGGGCAGGGAGGAAAACCGACACCATTTACTAACTTTCAATAAAATAAGCAGATAATATTACTGCTGATTTATTACTAACAAATTAACCAAAGTACTGTATATTCTTTATTCATTCAAAGAAAACTAGATTGGCATTTTCCCTAGAAGAAAACAGGGTAACATTGCCATGTCGCTATTAAATTCACCAGCTAATAATATTGGAAACTCATCTTAAAACATCAGTCTCTGGACTGTAAACATAAAAAAAAATTTCCCTCGAACAAACTTAATTATCAGTACTAAAATAGATTAAATGTAAACCCGCTTTCCACTTCTTGATAAAACGCATCTGGAGAACAGCCGACGTTGGAGAAAGGGGAAGGAGCAGCCATCTTAACTCTGGACAGTTTAAACGTTATATGTAGTCATGTTTGGAGGCTTGCTTTGATGTCCAAAGGGATTGGAAAGGATTGGGGAGGTAGAGGGATGGGGAGATGAAATTCAGGAAGAGGATGCGGGTGTAGAGAGAGAGGAGGTTTGAAAGTTCGGTGGCCTGTCCACCATGGGTTGACATTTGTGTATGTGTTGTTTGTTTGCGTATGTGTTATGTTGGGTTGTCAGTACATTGGCTGGGGGGGGCTAGTGTTTGTGACCTTGTTGGTGTCCTAAAGCACTAGAGCCGATGGAGTTGGCTGAAGGAGGCTAATCTTAGTAACATCAGGGTAGTTACACTTCTGATACCACGACAAAGGGTTTTTTGGTTTTGTATTTTTTTGAAGGAGTTTTATTTATTTATTTATTTATTTTATTTTTTTTTCTTTATTCTTCATTTCGTGTAGATCGGGTCCGGGATGGGCCACTCATCTGGGTCGTCTGGCAGGCCGCTTAGTATCTGAGGGCTTGGGAAGGCCTCATCATGGATGTGTCTGATCACTTTTTGTTGGAGAGTGATTCTTCTGGTTCTGTGTGGTGGTTCGTGGATCTCGTAGTCGCTGGTGGTGTTTTCTGCTACGTAGGGATCTTCGGGGTCTGGGACATACATGTTCTTCATACGGTACAGCCGTCTTCTGGCCAGGTAGCTGAGCCTTATGTTCATTGGCTTCATGTTGAGCGTCTCATGGATTTGGTCAGTTCTTACCCTGTCCATCAGAGTCAGGCCCTCCGCAAAGCGAAGTGCTTTGTTTTGTACTCGTTGGATCTTCAGCATGTTGGATTTGTTGGTGAGGTTCAGGGGAACGTAAGGGTATTCCAAGCTAGGCCTTATGATCATTCTGTACAGGTGGAGCTTGATGTGGGATGGGGCTTGCTTGAAACGGAAGAGCCTCGCCAGTGAGCCCCGGGCCATCGCTGTCTTCTGGGATACGTACTGGGAGGAGTTGAGTAGCCTGTTGAAGTTGTAACCGAGCACTGTGTTGGAGTTTGAGATGGCTATGGGTTCACCCCTGATTCTTATCCCCCCCTCATTTTCGATTGAGAAGGCCATACAGCCGACAGTGCTTAATTGGATCTTTTCTGGGTTAGTGGTGATCCTCCATTTCCTTTCCCAGTTAGCAGTCCTTGCTAGTTCTACGTTTGCCTTACGGGTTACAGTTGCATGCTTGGCCGCTTGGGTTAGATGTTATTACGTGTGTTACGTCGTCCGCAAATTGCACGATAATGGTGTCCCTATACTCTGGTTGGGGCAGGTCGTTTACAAAGATGTTGAAGAGAACCGGGCTCAAGCATGATCCTTGGGGGACTCCAGCTGTTGGGGTGAAGGCTGCGGCCTCTTTTGCCTTGAAGCTGGGGGTAACTTGCCTATTCTTAAGGAAATTTCTGATCAGCCTGAGGAGGGTCCAGTTTTGCGCTGGTAAGTCTGCTAATTTGTACACAAGACCATCGTGCCACAGGCTGTCGAAGGCCTTGTGTACGTCCCTCGTCGCAATCAAAGCTACCTGTTTTTGCTTGCGAATTGAGCTTACGGCGTCGTAGATGATGTTTATTGCGTGCTGGGTTGATCTATGTGCTCGAAAGCCAAACTGTTTTTCTGTGAAGAGGTTGTTGTACTCCATGTAGTAGTTAAGACGGTTTGACATGATTTTTTCAAAGCACTTGCCTATTGTGTCTAAGAGGGAGATTGGACGGTAGTTGCCAGGTTGGTGGGGGTCTTTCTTGGGTTTGGGAATGAATATCATCTTGGCTGACTTGAATGCTACAGGAATGTGACCCGATGCCAGCATAGCGTTGAATAGGTTGAGTATGGATTGCAGAAGATTGCCTGGTAGAAGTTTGATCTGCAACGCTTTGATCCCTGATGGTCCTGGGGCCTTATCTCTGATGCTTTTGATGACTCCTCTCATCTCTAACATAGTTATGGGTCTTGTTAGAGGGTGGTCGTCTTCTAGGGTTGTCAGGTCTATCAGAGGGGTGCTGTGAAGGGAGGCGGCGTTTTCTGTTGTCCATTGGTTGACACGTTCAAAGTGAGCGTTGTTGAAGGCTCTGCTGTTTGAAGCCGTGAGTGTCTTTTTCCATACTGCGCCCATGAGGTCAGCCTGGTCTTGCGGGTCTTCTATTTTTTCTTGTTGCTCCTCGTCATCTTCGTCAAGGAATGTGTGTACGAGGTGGGTGAGTCTGAGGTTAACCGATCCCAAGAGCTGTCTGATCTTGCGCCAGAAAGCTCCCGGCTCCCTTTTGTAGTGGTTGGCCTGCCTCTCAAGGGTTCCCCAAATGTAGTTCTTGCGAGTCAGCGTTAGGTCTATGGTTTCCCTTCTGAGTGTTTGTAGGGTCAACGCTGGTGGCTGGCCAGTTTGGTAGTGGTTTGGCAAGCTCGCTGGTACTCATTCATTTTGCCTCTGATTTCTCGGGTCGGTTTATATTGGTGGTAAGTCCTTGTGGTGGATATTTCACAAGTGGCCTCAGTTGCGAGCTGGATGCGGCTGTGGATGGTGTCTACTGCTTGGTCGATCGTTTGGGTTGGGAGGTTTTCGAACTCAATGATGGGGTCGTCAGCAAGGAAGGTGTCATATTCCCGGGCACGTATGGTTTCCAGTCTGGGCCTGGGAGGTGCCACATACCTGAAGGGGGTAGCTTGGAGGGTTGTGACCACAGGGATGTGGTTCGACCCCACGTTCTTGTCTGGGGTTACTCTGCAGTGGAACAGGTCACAATCCCTGTTGGTCAGCACTATGTCAGGGGTGCCCCTCTGGTTGCCCGCAAAGAACGTCTTAAAGTGGGGGCCTTGGAAGGAGAGGTCCCGGTTTTGCATTAAATTGAAGAGCTGCCTGCCCTTGAGGAGCGTTGAATAAAGCCTGATGGTGGGCATTCATGTCTCCTGCGATGATAGTAGGGAGGTTCCTATCGAGCAGCCTGTTCAGAGGGATGGAGGGGAGGTAGGCCAGTCTAGGTGGTAGATATGCGGTGCAGACGATGAGGGGGCCGTGTGACGTGGTGAGTTCAATTGCAAGAAAGTGGTCATCTTCTATGAGGATGGGGCGGTAAGAGAGCCCTCTTCTTATTAGTATTGCCACCCCACTGTACATCCCCCTGTTGACTTCCCTGGTGGAATATCCCTAAATGGAGATGTGCTGGTCCTGTCTAACCGCTGTTTCATTGAGTAAGATAATATCTGGGTTAAGTCTGGCTACCTCCAGAGTGAGGAGGTATCTGTTGTTGAAGTAATGTCTGATGTTCACCTGAAGAATTGTGATCCCCATTATTGGCTATGAGACGTATGTGTTTGTTTGGCTCTAGCGCCAGTGTTATTATATTCGGTTTGGCTGCTGCTATTTGTGGAGGTGGAGGGTAAATCTATTGAGCCAGGGATCTTGTTCCTGGTTCCGGCAGGGGATTGGTTGGGGTTGGGGTGTCCCATACGTTGCTGTGCCATTGGGGGGTCTTCGGTGTCACTGCTGTTCATGATTTCCACGTCAGTGGTGCTAGAGTCGCTCTCTGGTGGAGAATTAGGGGGGCTGCTTGCCTTTGCTCTGTCCTCAGGGGATGGGCTTCGGATGTGAGTGTTGGTCCTAAGCCTCTTGGAACAGCGTTGTGTGGAATTTATTGTTGTGGGACTGCGGTTTGAGAGGCGCCTGATGTTCCTAGGGCCCCGGATGGGGTTCCGGATGGCAAGGGAGTCTGTGAGAGCTTTGAGTATAATCCCGTGTTGGATTGCTGTAGGAAGGGTGGACCTAGGTGTTTGCCAGATTGTCGGGGTGGAGGGGCCGGGGTGGTTCTGGGAGTTTGGTGTCTCCTGGGCGTTGGTTGAGGTCTGGAGGCAGGGAGTACTAGGGTTGGGGTTGTTGGGTTGTGCTTGGGCCTGACCGGCGGTTGTTGAGATGTTAGGAGTCAAGTAGGCAAGCGAGTCCTCGGACATATGGACAGGGGGCAGGCCATTGTCCTTCCTAAGTGAGTTCCAGAAACCTAGGAGCTTCACTGGGTTGTATAGAAATTGGATTTGTGCAAATGTTAGGAGTTCAGCCCCTAAGCTGGACTTAGGATCGGGGTTTGGTGCGAGAGTTAGGTGTTGAGGCCTGTTGTGTATGGTTCTGGGTTTGCTCTGGTATAACCGTGGGGTTATGGGGATGTTGGATGCTTTGGTGTCCCCCTTGGGCGACCGACTGGGCCTGTTGTTGGTTAGGGATACCCCAGGCATTTACTGGTGGAGGAGGGGCAGGAATGGTAATAGTTGCTTGTTGACGGGCTGCTGTCGCCGTTTCTTGCAATTGCTTGATTGCATCCTGCCTACGAGGACATCAATGCGAGATTGCAATGTGTGCACCATTGCATAGAGCACATTTGGGTGTTGGGCTTGTGCATTCCCTGTAGCTGTGTTCCCCTGTGCACCTGCTGCACTTGGGGGTTCCATTGTTGCATGCACTGGAATAG